TTGTACTTTTTACTTATTCGAGGGTTTTTTAATTAATTACTTATAAAATAAGTTAATAAGTTCCTACGCATTTAACGTATTTTTGGGAATCACCAAATCTCCCCAACTTATCCTTTTCTTTGTCCTAAAACAAATTTCATTCAAATGGTTTGAAAAAAAATTCTAAATGCATATTTCATAAGTTTAATAACTTATCAAAAACTTTTGAAAAAACATTGTTTATGACAATATTTTATTTACAATGCAAGTTCATAATCAACAATATAATTATCATCAAACCATAGCCTGAATATAAAAAATTTACTTTACCAAAGTAAGATTTTAAAATATATCTAGATCAATAGTCAATTATTCATTAGAGTCATATTCTCACTGATTATCCCTAAAATAGTTTATTGTTTTCCTCATTGTTGGACAATGCATAAACCATAGAAATATGTTTCATTTCATCTAAGCAGTGCAACAAGATACATAATTAGTCGTGGATCATCAAGATCTTTCTTTTGGTTGTAACGTGGCAGAACTACAAACAATATTGGTTTTCTATGAATTCAAAAGGCCTAAACAATATAGTAGGTCTATTTTCTTCTCTTTCCACTTTACAACACATTTTTTGGTGACTTTCTTGTATTTGCATGCTTTAAATTTTTTAGTTCTTTTCTTTTTGTTTTTGTCAAAGCATATACTTTTCTTTCTTTTCACCATACTACTTGATTTTCTTTTTCAAAAATTTTCCTTTTCTCTCCAACTATATTGTTTTATACCCTTGCATTTTAAAGTGCTCTCTTATCCTTAAGATAAGGTGGTGAACATTTTTTTCTCTAAAAATTGGCTAAGGGTTGTAACGTTGAAAGAACAAAACTTTTCAATTTTTAGCCTCAAAGGGGTTGTCAAAGGATAACACCCTCACAAGGTAGGCTTCTTGGTCAAGTAGTTTTTCACCCTCAAAAGCAATGACTTAATCATATCATTGTCTTCAAATATACCAAGTAAGAGAAATAATGACTCAAAATCCATGTAGTTAGTATGCATGTCCACTCCCATTATTTATGTAAAACACAAGGCTGCACACATCTCACTTGAATAGAATTATATGATTCTTCACTTTCATTGACATGTTTTCACTAGACAGTAGTAAAATCAAACCTTTTTTTTTGTAAGACATTAGTTCACGGTTATGTTATAATTTCCAGATAATAAAGCACCAATCATGAATGAAGGATTTGAAAGAAAATACCTTTTTATCATGCCATAATTCCTGAATTTTGTCATCAACTTGAATTTGTGATTCCTATGCATTTGGTTTTTCAAATCAACTGAATCATCTACACGCAAACAATTTTAAGTATAAAACTTTGAAAAATTTCAAACTTTTTCAACAAGTACTTAATCATGAAAACAATTTAAATTTCACCGGTTTATGTAGGTCCAACTTTAATCTTCCTTTCATTCCACCCCCTATAGAAAAGTTTGGTATCTCTGTAGGTCATCGGGTTAGGAATGGTTTTGGAGATATCCTTGCATAGCGACATGAACTTTCGCTAAGCCACCAAAATGTCGCAAAGTGCTTTAAACGCACAACATCGATCACTTACAATATTTCACATTACCTAAATTACTTGCTTTAAATTCATCTCAAAACACATCACATATATGAAGGGATGATGTACCAATATTATGTTTCAAATGGTACTGAAGTGTTTTGGGAGCTTGGGCATGGCATTTGTTAAATCTACACATAAAAATTTATAAAAGCACAAAGCGTTTAAAACCTAATTAACAAAAAAAGCATAAATTATAAAACAAATAAAGTTCAAAGTGATGGTAGAAGAATGCGACAAATTATCAATCATCATCATCACCACCACCATCATCATAACCATCTTCTTTTTCTTCTTCTTCTTCATCATCATCACACTTGACATATTCTTCTTTTTCTTCCTTTTCACTTTCATTTTCATCCACAAATTCCTCTTCTTCAATCTTAATTTTACCATTGCCTCTTCCATTTCAACTTGCCTCACCTCACTAATTTTCTATATAAAATGGCTTATTCATAGCCCCTATAGATAACTGATAAAATTCTCTTGTGCAGGTAGATGATCATAGGGAGAATGAGATTCCTGCATCCACTGTTCCAATCTACTAATAGAAACACGAATGGAAATCAAAACCTTTTAGTATACATCACTAATGTCCCGTGTATGAATAAAGTAGGTATGAAAATTATGATTCACAACATCCAAGATTACAAGTTCTTATTGGTGTTGTTGGGGTGCTATAGGTGTAATGGTTGAACGTATTTGCTCTCTATGGCTTCTTGCCATATAATAGCAGTGAACAAAATATTCATTCATTTTTGTATCAAGACATCAGTGGAAATAGAATATGAGGCCTACTTCATTTTTTTTAAGAGTCTAGTGATCAAAATTTTGGAAGGCTAAATGAGTAGGGGTGGCGAACCAGGCGGCTCTCCCCGCCTTAAGCCTGCCAAAAAGGGGGGGGGGGGGGGGGGGGGGGGGGGGGGAAGGGGCGGGCAAACACGCCAAGTGAAATTGCTCATAAAAATCTAACTTGCCCGCCAAGGCGGTGTATTAGCGGACGACGGGCTTGCCCACCTAAATTTTATTTATTTATTTTTCATCTTTTTAATAGATTAATAGGCTTATTTTTACATTTCGATTAGATTTTTCACTTATTTTTTTGAACAATTTTTGTATAGCATTTTTTAAACAAATTTTACTTAAAAAAATATTGCGCATATTTACATATAAATGTACAAAATAGAATCATCAATAAGTATTCCAAAACTATAGTTCAAGTATTAACCTTCAACCAACCAAAATAAATATTTTGAGTGCTTGATAACTAGGTTGGCGGGTTGACGGGTCAACCCACCCTTTTTTTGACGGACTTAAGGTGGGGCGGGATTAAAGCGAGTAGGCGCGCATAAAATTCCAATTCAACCTGCCATTTTTTGGCGGGTGCGAGGGTCGGCTTAGTGGGCCACGACCAGTTTTGTCACCCCTATAAATGATTTTAAAATTGTGTGCACAATCAGTCAAATCCTATCTGAGATGATTGTATATATTTATCCCTTGTATGGTCAAAATATACTAGATAAGTTGGGTCAATTTGAGGTATTGGGTTTAGGGGTGACATTAGATAGGATAAAGGCTAACTGTATTTGGACTTCTATGGTGAGGTTGGATCTTTTGAATTGAATAGGTCGGCTAACTCTTCCTACTTCATATGTTTCTAATCCAATGCATATGTCAGTTGTTATCTTATCATAATCCCAATTATTTCTCACAACTCCCCTCGAGAATGAGTCTACCTCATATGGATTTTTCATGAAAGTGTCTTCTAAGTATGTATGGTTTCACTATTATATGTAACTTATCACCCTTTTACTCAGGATACCCTTGATATCATGGCATCATCATCTAAGAGTTTAACATTTGCATAAAATACTCTTATAATATCAAGATTAATTTTTTATGGAGGATTAATTCAACCTTGAACTCATGAACCTCCTTTGCTCACTGTGCATGTGTTTTTGGCTTAGCGAGGTTAGTTGATTAGCCTTGAAGTTACTTGGCCATGAAATTTGCTTTTGTTGGCTTTACTCGCTAAACACACCTATATTTTTGGATTAGCGACTAGGAAAGTTCCTTGACAAGGTCATTACGTTGCTTTGGTGATTTCTTAATCTTTTATAGCTGTTTTTAGTCCATTTGTAATTAAATTGCCCAAACAATCATTTTATCATTTTTCATTGATTGATCAAAGATTTTTTTATTAATTACTTATAACATAAGTTGATAAATATATATTTAATATATTTTTGACGCTTATCAGTTCTCTCAATTTATAGTTATACAAATCTAAGACTAGTTTGCTAGTAACAACAATAACCATAGAAATACAAAGTGCAGCATAATATAATTTATCTTATAATATTAAAAAAAATTCATTACACATTTATATTTTTTTTCATATAATTTATTATCCAAACTACGTTAATTTTTTGTTTCAATTCTAAGAAGAGTTGTAGTTCATATCATTATTATTAGAAGTCAAATGTGTGTTGCAGCTTCAACATAATATTATTTCTGTTATTTAATTTTAACTATATCAATTAAATATCAATTACAATTTTTAACTAATCAAACATATTATTCATTTCCCGTTTTACTAAATTTAAATGATATTTATAATAATTATTTTTAGTAACGAGAAAATAGACGTCAAAAACTTTCACAAAGAGGGTGTAGTCAATTATATATAACAATAATTCCATAAAAAATTATATATAACGATATTAATATAACAACAACAAAATTTTATTCTACTAAATATAATCGATTATATAGATCAAGTTCTGATATAATATTCTTTCTTTGATTATGCTTTTTATTCTCTTCATTTTAAAATTACTGTTGTTTAAAATTTTTGTACACAAATTAATAAATATAATAATTTTATCGTAAGATAATTTTTACTAAATTAACACTATTAATTAATATGTCAAAATTAATATAAAAAATAATAATTAATAAATATAATTGAAAAAATAACAATTATTTTTACATTAAAAATTGAAAATAATATTTATTTTAAATAAATTTTATTAGTTAAAAGTATAATCATTTTGAAACATAATAATATGGAATAAAAAGGACGGATATTTGCTAGTTTTAGAAAGAGAGTGTATACCAAATAAATTGAAAAAAGAAAATCAGTGGTTAGATAAAAAGGATAAAATGTGGATAGAAAGATATAGTAAGATATACATAAAATCCTTAAAACCCTTCTCATTGGTTGCATCTAACAACCTCATTTCAACCACAAACTTCCACATGTCTTTCTCACCACACATTCATCTCATTTTCATTCCCTACATATGATGTTTCTCTCAGCCATTCATTTCACACATCTCTGGTAACATCTTGTGAGTAAACTGAGTGAGGTTTCAACTCAACAACAAGAAGAAAGTCATGGCATTGATGGCAGCCACAGCAAGCTCAGCAACTGTTGTTAAGCAAACTTCTTTCCTTGGTCAAAGGAAGGCTGCCAATCCTCTTAGAGATGTTGTTGCCATGGGAACTCCCAGATTCACCATGGTATTTTCACTACTTTACCAAATATACTATGTTATTACATTATTGAATATTCATTAGTCTTTAAATGTGTGCCTGATATTATGATACATGCAATTTATTTTGTGATTGTGAAGAGAAATGATTTGTGGTATGGACCAGACAGAGTGAAATATTTAGGACCATTTTCAGCTCAGACTCCTTCATACTTAACTGGAGAATTCCCTGGTGATTATGGATGGGACACTGCTGGTTTATCTGCTGATCCAGAAGCATTTGCCAAGAACCGGGCTCTTGAGGTTGGTTCATTCGTTACTTATCATGTTTATAGTAGTTTGTTTGAATCAATCAATATAATAAATTGTCCGCAAATCCTAACTCAACTCAACCGGTAGAAACCGATGATCAGGGTGTGAACCCTGGTACTCACAGTTGTGTGTTTTCTGTGTGAGTTTCTAGTGGTTATTATCACTTCGTCTACTAAATTATGTTGAATAATGAAGGTTATCCATGGAAGATGGGCTATGCTAGGAGCACTAGGATGCATAACACCAGAAGTACTTCAAAAATGGGTTAGAGTTGACTTCAAGGAACCAGTTTGGTTCAAAGCAGGATCACAGATCTTCTCAGAAGGTGGACTTGACTACTTAGGAAACCCTAACCTTGTTCATGCACAAAGTATCCTAGCAGTACTAGGTTTCCAAATTGTTCTAATGGGACTCGTCGAAGGTTTTCGCATCAATGGACTTCCCGATGTCGGAGAGGGCAATGATCTTTACCCTGGTGGGCAATACTTTGATCCTCTTGGTCTTGCCGACGATCCGGTTACTTTCGCGGAGCTTAAAGTGAAGGAAATCAAGAATGGAAGATTGGCTATGTTCTCTATGTTTGGTTTCTTTGTTCAAGCTATTGTTACTGGTAAAGGACCTTTGGAGAATCTGTTGGATCACCTTGATAACCCTGTTGCTAACAATGCATGGGTTTATGCTACAAAGTTTGTGCCTGGTGCTTAAACATTTGATGTTATCTATGATTGCATTTGTGTGAATGATGAGACTTGGCATTATTGTATAAATTATGATCTTGATGATTATTGGATTAGTGCACTTGTTTGATTAATAGTTTAAATCAACTTTATTTAATTAAATAGACTTTTTAAAAAAATGATGTCTAACATTTTTTATTAAATAGACCCGGCCTTAAATATACCAAGCTAAATGCCCCTTAGTTCGGTCCATACTCTCATTCCTAACCTTAAAATACTTTTTTTGTTTTCAATACAATATTAATTATTTTTTTATCTATAACATCTAATTTTTTTTTTTTTTGTTTTCCTTAATCATTAACAATAATTGATTTTGCATTTTAAACATTCTATGCGGACGCAGCAATATAACTTAATTCTTTTATTTGTAGTTTTATTGAACGTTGTTTTACGATTTTAAAAAAAAAATACCACTAAAAAATTAATGGATTAGATCATTTTCTTTAAGATGTTTCACGACACTGTCTAAAGTTATGCAAAACATTTACTTAAGAGCGACGCATCCAGGATAAAACAGTCAAGTTTTATATCATACGATTGCAACTTACATGGTGTATAATCGACCAAGATATAAACCTCTTGATAGTACAAAGACTAGTTAATGATGGTATAAATGCCAATCGTATATTTGGTGAAAACCAGTCGTATCATGCGCAAGGCATCTAGTCAAAAACTAATAATAGAAAAGAAATTTTATATGATGAAATAGAGACGGGAGAGAGGAGATAGATTTTGGAATGCGAAAATTTGGAATGAAGAAAATGAGATGGAAAGACATCTATTAATAGGTAAAATTATGACTCGAATGAGAGAAAATATGGGAGTGGAGTGGATATGGTCCAAAATTAGTCGTTATGAATGCGAAAATTTGGAATGAAGAAAATGAGATGGAAAGACATCTATTAATAGGTAAAATTATGACTCGAATGAGAGAAAATATCGGAGTGGAGTGGATATGGTCCAAAATTAGTCGTTATGAATGCGAAAATTTGGAATGAGGAAAATGAGATGGAAAGACATCTATTAATAGGTAAAATTATGACTCGAATGAGAGAAAATATGGGAGTGGAGTGGATATGGTCCAAAATTAGTCGTTATGGAATTTGGTCAGCAAGGCGATGTGGAAATGTGAAAGACAAGAAAAATTGCGGTAACTTAGTCAAAAATTAGGGTTACCGTTAAAAGTTGGCACATCAGTAGTTAATTAATAAAATTTAATTAATAATTATTATTTTTTACCATTTTGGGTACCAAAAAATAAAGGATCACCCAAGACTAAACTCGACCCGAGCTGAGCCAAGTCGAGCCGACCGGACAAACAACGGTGGCGACAGACATAAACATGAGTTTATTCATGGTCGTGGGTCTTTACCCTTTTCACAAAATTGCATACCCCTTGGGGCACACCCCAATAGACAAACCTTCCATATATAAGCACTACTAAAGTGTGGTATCCCTCTAATGTTTGACTTTAATGAACTTTTTTAAATTCACCTCTACACACACTAATTCATACTTATGTTTATCTCTTATCAACTTAAAGTGAACAATTCCTTCCAATTTTCCATTAATCATTTGATTTCCAACAATCCCACACTTGAATTTGAAAAAGTGTTTCAGAAGTAACGTCAAACGTTGCTAACATTATGCTTAAATAAAGGTGTCTACGACTTGAACCTTTATGCAGCAAGTAACATTCTGATTCTACAAGAGTGACGGAGTTTTCTTGAACTCTGTCTTAGACATCAAACTTGCACACAGTATTTTCTTAAGGTGTATTCTAAAAGCTCATGTTTTGATGGCCCAGCACGACTATCCTAGTTTAGTGAAGGCTCTAGGAATTACGCCTCAAAATTTTATAGGAACCAACCTAAGTTCCACAATCACATAAGAAATCTATCAAGATTACTCCAATAGATAGGTAATCCCGCATACAGGTATAGATCTTATTAAGAGATTATATCATCTCATCCTCTTGTCTCTTCAGGGTTCATACTTGTCTTATTTATACTAGCATGATCATCTCATATTACTCACAACTTGTTATTATCATTGAACCTATTTCTTAGGATCTCCAATCTATTATGTTAGGTTACCATCATGAGCAACTCACTTCTCTATAGACATTAGTCTTGTCTTCTTGGATGTATTATGAAGTTTCTCTCTAGTTAATCTTTTCATCAAAGGATCTACTAAGTTTTCATTAGTTTACGCATGATTCACTCTTATATATCCTTTAAAGATACAATCCTTAACAGTGTTGTGCTTCCTTCTTATTTGACGTCTTTTACCATTATAATAACGATTCTCAATTTTTGCAATAGTCGTGGTACTACCACAGTCGATCAACACAGTTGGCATGGATATTTCTCATAAAGGGATCTCATATAGCAAGCATCTTAACCAACTTACTTCTTTACTAGCAGTCGTTAATGCTATAATTTTAGACTTCATTCTAGACTGATCCAAGATAGTATATTTCTTCTATTTCTAATATACATCTCCTCCATCTATACTGAATATATAGCCATTAGTTTCTGAAATTCTGGCAAGCACGCGATGGATGTTATCACGGTTGTTATAACATCCACTGTAACACAGACTATTGGAGTAATTAAAATGCTGTAAAGAGAAAGCAGTAAATAACATAAGAGATTGTTCACCCAGATCAGTGTCAACCACACTTACATTTGGGGGTAGGGATGGCAACGGGGCGGGTCGGGGCGGGTTTTACTATACCCGCACCCGCACCCGCTTTCATGTAACACACCCGCCCCCGCCCCCAAACCCGACCGGGGGTAAAAATTTACCATCCAGACCCGCCCCCAGTAGAGAACGGGTGCACCCGCACCCGCCCCGCCCCCACCCGGAAAATTTTTTTTATTTTTAATTACAATAAAAATTAATAACTTAATTAAAAAATTGATTATTTTAATAAATTAATTATTTATTTAATTAAAATTTTAATTAGTAAATGAATATTAACTTGATTAATTTATTTATTTTAATTGTAATAAATGTATTAATAATTTAATTAAAAATATAATTAATAAATAAATATTAAAATAAGTAAAATAAGAAAATTAAATTAAAATAAATTATTCGGGGGCGGGGCAGGGCCGGGTGTGGCGGGTCTTAGTGTCTACCCGCACCCGTACCCGCACCCGTAATTAAAAATCGGATTTTCCCCGCATTCGTACCCGTACCCACTCAAACCGGGTTTTCCCCGCTAATTTCGGGGCGGGCCCCGACGGGTCTGGGTTTTTTTGCCATGCCTATTTGGGGGCTACCAAGCCAGGGAGGAAATTCACTATCAGTAGAATTAATTTAGAGTCAAACAATCCCAGTTTGCACTCTTCACTTAAGACCTACCCAATGACACTTCTGCCTAGAGACACTCTAGACCTGAGTATACCCACCCACTCCCCCTCAATCACCTCAGTGATATCAATACACACTTACACAAGAAATATGAAGATACACTTCAAACACACCTTGATCTTGCTTCACAGCTTTGATCAAGTGACACACACTCTTGCTTAACAGCTTTGAGTGACACAATGAACACACATGTTCATACACAATAACCACAGCAATTCTACAGCATACAATTGCTTGGCACACAAGGAATCCTAAGACTCCTAGACTCACGTGAAGAACAAAGTTCTTCACTCACAAAACACACTCTATGATCTCTCACTAGATGCTCTCTCCTCTGTGTGTCTGTCTATTAGGAATGCTCCTTCTGCTATTTATAATAGCAGAACTGCTTTGGGCCTTGGTAGAGAATTTAGGTTTACCCAAGATAAACCTTTCTTCATGAAGCTGCGCACTTATCATTAGGTCAGGAGCCTTCCATGTTATCCTCAGCAATGCCTGTTATGTTTCCTAAAATAACTCTGCTTCCTGGATTGTTTCCTGAAGTATAGTCTGAGCTAATAACAGAAAAACAAACATGCGCGCCCTGATGTCATACGATCAATGTCATAACATTCAGTCATGACATTCAGCTTCACTTACTCTTAGCTTTCCTTGCATAACACTTTTCATGTATGTCCTAACATCAGTTATGACATTTACTCATACATTAATGTTTTGCCATAAAATGCAGCCAATCAAAAGCACTTACAAACTCCCCATTTGCCTAATTTTTGGCTAAAACACCCTGTTAACATATCAGAGTTTACAAGCAGCAGAGTCTTAACCTACCATGCAGGAAAGCTACTAGTTACACTATCAGAATTGTTTACACTCACTCATAGTGTTAGCTCTCAGGGTACCATTTGTTAGTCAGCACTACAGATGTCACAATATATTGAGTAAAACTCTGGGTTACTCCCCCTCAACTGATGTACTTATCAGCTGGGCACACACTGCAAGTATCCCTGCAATCACACACAATACCAGAACATTCAGGCGGATAACATCCTGAAGCCACACAATCCTGTGCTACTCCCCCTAAAGAGATGCACTACACTCACATTATGCTACTATCTTGCAGACACACACATACACTCTCAAGCAGCAACTGGGAGCTCACATAGCTAACATACATTCTTACACAAACTGGAAATTCTCATAATACTAACAGCATCAGTTGTTATCACACATGCATCTTCAGCAGCTCCTTGGTTATTCAACCAAGTCTTCCACCTGCTCTTCCACCTGCTGTAATATATCACTCTCTCCCCCTTTTTAGCCACAAATTAAGATCCAACTAATAACTAGCATAGATCATAATGTGTACCATTACAAATGTTTGGGGAATTACAACAAAAACTGCTCATGAAGAGCATCATAAAGAAATTCATGTTGTCAAATAAGTAAAAAAAACTTCACAGCAGCAGCACATCCTGCTCATCAGCTCAACAACCAACAGCCTGAGCTCCACATAGCAGTTCTCTAATCTTCTCCCTCTTCACTGGAACTGGAACTAATGTAATGGACATTGGTTGGGACATTCTTACT